CTGACCGTGAATTATTGAGGGCAGTCTCCCACACCTAAAAAGGACTGCTGTGACTAAATCTGAAATAAGTCTTCATGAGGTGCCTTCAGTACAGGTCAGGGGCCATAGCGAGAGTGAGTGTGCGGATGAAGTCAGCCCCTTCTCCCTCCCCACCTTGCGCTGTGGTCTGAAGAAAGGAACTAAGTGGGTAACGTTTCCTTCATTGCCCATGTTATCTGTTTCCTGGGATCCCTGCTGAGTATTCGAAACACCTGCCTGGTACATGAGAGAAAATCTGATGGTGAAAAGGCCTGAGTGAGAGCTTTAACACGATGGTCCTTGGTTTTCTTCACTTGGGTTGGATCCCAACGTTGAATGTGTAATCTGTCTTCAGTTAGTCCTGTACATTTTAGGCTTCTTCTTTTTTTCCTTTTTAATGAATGGAGTTCTTGAGGTCCTGAGAGTACTTAGTACTCAGCACAGTGCCTGGCACATAGTAGGCGCTTAATAAATGTTGATTGATTGATCGGTTGATAATAGAATCTTAGAGTTGGGACCTCAAGTCATTTATCTAGACCAGTTCCATAACTTCTTTAGTTGCTTATGTGATATAAATGCAATACTAAATGCCTTTAAAAATGAATCTATGCCAAAGATCACCTTTTGTTTTATGAAAGATTGCTTCAAGAAAATAGGAGAAATCATGTTTGCCATTTCAGTTCCAAGGTTCTAGCCACGCTGCAGATACACTTTGTGCCGGCTGTGGTTTTCTCACCACCAGTGTTCCAGATTTGGTGAAGCAGATTCAGAAACATCCTCTGAATGTCGTTAGAAATGTTACCACTAAAATAACTGTTTATAAACTAGGATTTGTTATATGCAAATATTTTCTGCCACCTCTTTTGTTCTCTTAAAAATAAATAAAATGCATTTGTATAAATAACTGCTTGAATAGACGGTGTATTATTTTAGCAGTAGTAATTTTTAGGTCAGACATTTGGGAGATATTTCAGTTAACCTGTAAAGTGTTAATATTGTAGGATAGCCTTGAACTTATTTAATTCTAATACCTCATCACAGTACGTCTAGGAACCAGCAGTATGTTGAACAAAGGTTTGAACTAAAAAGCATCTAATACGGTGCCTGGCATTAAAAAAAAAAGTAGTTGTTAGTTGATTACAAAGGAAAGTTTTTGAGTTTGTTAGAATCATAAAGAGTTAGAAGAGGTGGAAATGATGGAGATTGGCAGCAGGGGGAAATCGGCCACTCTGCTGAAGTCTATTTTCTGTCCTGGAAGTTTGAAATCCCATGCTCTGTTGCTTTAGTTTTTAAAGGGATTTGTGTTAACGATTGGTTCAGGTATCACGTAAAAGATTTCTGAATTCAGTATGCAAGACCCAGGTTTGGAGCCTCAATTCTGCCTTATGAGCTGCATTAAGTTGGGCAAATGTCAATCTGAGCCTATTTTATTTGTAAAACGAGGATAGTATCATTTGTACTATTTGCCTCGGGTTTTTGTAAGATTCAAATGAAACGAAAATGAGATGGGAATTGGCTTTCAAAACTGTTTTTCACAAGCCAGAAATGCTCATGGTCTTCAGCAGGATTTGAGTGAGACGGAAGGGAACTCAACAACCATATGGTCCAACTCATACCAGAAAGCGATTCCCATTTGAACATACACCTGGCTCCTACCTGAGGACCTCCAAAGAGGAGGAGCCATTGATGGTCTGGGGAGCACCGCTGCACCCAGGGCTTTTGGGTTCACGGTCCTGGACCATCTCTATCAGGATCTGAGGGAGGAGGTGGTGAAGGGTGTGATGGTTTGACCTGCCTGGCACATTCTTGTCTTGCCTGCTTTGTAGGTAGCAGTTGGTGGGGATGGCTGGTTGGTCCCTTTTCCAGAGGATTTGCTTCTAGGTCAGTGGCGATGAGGGCTGGGCTGGCAGCAGGACCTATGTGTGATTTTGGGGTGGTTGTCATTCCTGGAGGGTATGGGTAGGTAGGGCTACCTACCCACTGGTGCAGTTTGTTGGGGTTGGTGGTGATAAAGAAAGTGGCCTCCTTTACAGTAATACTCCCCTCATTGCTAGCTATGGGGCCAGGGAAGCAGGGCTAGTGGTTTTGGGTGAGACACTGCTATCCTGAGGCTTTTGGGTTTGGCTGTTTCCATTAGGGTCCAAGGGTAAGTGGTATTCCCAAGTCCTAAGAGTTGGGTACACAATTCTGGACTATCTCCATCAAGATCTAAGGGAGGTGGTGTCAAAATGGTGGTGGCAGTTTGATGTACCTCGTACTTACTACCACCTGTCTATAAGGGTGCTTGCTGCTTCAGTAGGCTGATCTGCCCTACCTCTAGGTGACTTGAAGAACAGTCATCATATCTTCTTGGTCCTTCCTGTCTTCTCCAGATGAAATATACTGAATTCCTTCAGTTCATCTCATCCTCTGTCACATAGATTCAAGGCACTTCATGGTCTTGGCTGCCCTCCTCTGGACAATGGATGCTTGCCCATGTCATTCAGTCAGTGAAGTCAACAAGTATTAGTTAATGTGTTACTATGTGCCAGGCACTGGTGCTAAGCTCTGAAAATACAAATTCAAAAAGAAAATCCCTCCCCTCACAGAGCTTGCCTTCTAAGGAGGAAAGATAACGTATAAAAAGAGCTGGTTAAAAGGAGGTGCAGGGGGCATGGTAGAGGAAAACTGGAATGTAGCCTGGAGAATGAGATATCCCTGGCCCAGGCATCCTCCTTAAATGGAGGTTCTGAGAGGCCGAAGGAGCAGAAGGTACTTATAACATGTGAATTCCTTGCCTGGAGTGAGATGTCAGGATAGTAGGGGAAGTCTGGAAGGCAGCCTGGTGAGGAATGTCTTTAAAACATAGCACCCAGAATTGAACAGTATACTGCAGCTGAGACCTGATGGGCTGAGGTATAGTATGATCATCATCATCTTATTCCTGTCAGTTGCTCCTTGATTAATGAAACCCATGATTGCATTGTTTTTCAGATGTCACACCATACTGAAGACCCCTATTGAACTTAGTTCACTAAAGCCCCCAGATGTCCTTCAAAAAGTCAGTTTCACAGGTGTAAGATGGTGGACATATAGCTAGCAATTTGGAGATCTGGGGGTTTTGTTCTGTGAAGTTTGGATTCAAAGGGCCACACTTGAGGACCTAGAGGGCCACATATGGCCTCAAGGCTGCAGGTTATATGACACCCCTATGAGTCTAGTCTGTCAAGATCTGCTTATTGTATTTCTGAATCTATCCTCCAGTGTTAGCTATCCCTTTCAGCTTTGGGTGGTCTGTCTGCAAATTTCATAAGAATATCATTCATGGCTTTATCCAAGTTATTGAGAAAAATGCTAAAAACACAGGATCAACTACAAATCCCTGAGGTACTCCACTGGAGGCCTTCTGCCATCAATGACTACTTTTTGAGTCTGGCCTTCCAACCAGTTAGAAATCCATATAATTATATTACCTACTCCATGTGTTACCAAAAAGGAGTGAGAATTAGATCTAGAACAGATTTTCCCTTTGTTGGCCCCTCCACTTTGTGAAGATGAAATCATCCCTAAAACAAATCAAGAAGTTAGATACGTGAATAATGGAAATTGTTCATTACTCCTCTATCATGTATCAGGCTTGTAATTTGTTTCTCCAGCCCTTCTCTTTCCTTTCTGCCCAGGTGGTCTGAGGTATATGTGACAAAACCACATTGGTACTCTCCTCTGTTGACCATCTCCTATGCTCTGTGTCATCCTTTGCCGCTCCTAGAACTTCCCCCACATCACACCTTCTTGGTATACGTCACTCCTCCCATCTCTTTTTAACCCTGCCTGTCTCTTCTGACTCAAGTCTCCCCCTCCAGAGCCATATTCCTGTACTATTTGATGCCACCAAATCTGCACTACCTATTTGCCTCCATGTTGTGCCTTGCTTTCAGACTTGCTTGGAGCTGACAGGGCTGACCTCCAACCTCCTCCAGGGTATGTAGGCTGGGGCTACTCTTGGAGGAATCCTCAATTCCTTGTAAAACAGCAGAAACAAGCTCCCCCACCCCCCCCAACTTGGGACTCCAGCCCTTTCACCTGACCAGAATGCCTTTCCCACCAATGCGTCTAATGTTGAGAAGAATGCCTAGAAAAGCCAGTCTAGGTTAGGCTCTTGATGATGAAATGAGGATACCTTCCTGTGAGGTTATTTGTGTCTTCTCTGCTCCCCATGCCGACTTCTGCATTTAGCCCTTTCCAAACTCTGGGCCTGGAATTCATCTGGACCAGGGGGTTGGACTAGAGGATCCTGAAGGTGCCTTTCATTCATTTCTAATTCTGTGGTTTTGATGCTACCAACTCAGCTCAATGAAAGCAGAAAGGATTTCTTTACTTTTACTTTACTTTCTGAGCTGGAGGTGTGGTTTGGTTGCTTTGCTAAACCAACCTGTTGCCTGTATCTATCTAATCAGAGCTGTCTGTCCAGATTACCCTAGAGTATCACAGGAGCGTACACAGCAAACCAAGCTTTCTGGGAAGTTGGGAAGCTAACTCTGAAATATGTTGAAATCTCTGTTAGGGGAAAAAAAAAATCTATATACTAACTATAAAGAGCCAACCCATGATTTGTTCTCAGGACACACTCCTTTACAAATATCAGAAAATGGAATATTTTTGGCTCGGTTTGAACAATGTACTTCAGAAATCTAAGTGATATTATTAAGCTCTGAAGAGGGCTTTGTGTTTTGTGGGAAGAGTGGCTTTGATTACCTTCCACTACTCAAATATCTGCGGTCAGAAAGGTGACACTTGTTTTTAGGAGAGATCACATGCATGGCTGTTGACATGTCCTGAACTGGTACTGGCTAATGAGAATTGGGCAGGAGGGGACGTGCAGTTCAGATTGACAACTCCTCTGAAGAGTGGATGTGAAACGTAATCGAGTTCAGAGCAAAGCTAACCCTGAAGCCTTGCACATCTGAAAAGTTCAATCAATGGAATCAGTCTGCACAGTCATCTCGTTGCTTTCATCTCTTTATTAATAGTGCAGCCAGGACTGGCGAGATACGTAGGAATCAGATCCTCCACCTGAAGAGTTTTCTCTAATTCTACCAAATAATACAGTAATTGAATAAAGCAAAAGAGTTCACAAGGGAAAAGGCTGGCAGAAGAAACTTCTGGAAGCAAGGAAACTGCTTGCATACCATGGCATTCTATGCAAGAGACATCACAGGAAGAAAAATGCCTAGTTCCAAGTTACAGAAGATGGAAACTGGTTGGAATGAAGGATTCCAATGGCAGATAGGAGTCCAATTACGGGACTCTGACAAGGGATAGAAAGAGTGCAGAGGGTTGAGGGATCACTGGAAAGAAAAGCTTGAAGAGGCAACTGAATTGAGATAATCTTAGACATAGTAAGCAGATAATTATGGTTTGGCAGTATTGTAATCACCCTAGAAATTTAAATGAAATATAAAGATGTGTCCAGTCTGACCTAGCATCTATGTGCCATTCCCTTTTCTAGCTATCTGCCTACTTTTGGGTTGAAAGTCAGGTTGGTAATATGAACAGACTTGCCCCCAGAGGGCCTTGAAGACAAGGGGAAATAGCTGCATGTTGCTGAACAGTGTGAGTCAACTCCTATCCCGAGAGGCTGAGTGACAAAAGTACTATTAAAAAGGGCTAAGACTGCCGCTGACAGAGTAGGGAAACGGGGCAGAGAGACAAAAGAATCCAAAGTGAGGTGTGGCCCGATTCATATGTAATTTGACTAGCAACATGTGAAAAACAAGCAAGGAGACCTCAGCGCCCAAAACTTCCTCTTCCTTCACATTTAATAAAACATGTTTGGGTCTTTAAACCTTTGTTGTTGCACAAAACTACGTGGCCTTCAGCAGTCTGGGATGTCAACCCCATCAACCCAGGTATGTTATTGCACAAAGACTGTAATCTCAGCAAAATAAGCTAAATAAATAGAATAAAGAAGTGTAACTTCTTCCTTGACAATTTCCATATTTTCAGGAAGGAACTTGATGTGGTGGACATGAGGCATTCAAGGTTAACTCTGGCAAAAGGGCTGTTCTGCTAAGACTTAGGAAATATGCAGAATGACAAACTTTACGATTTGAGTTCTCTGTTGCTATTTAGTTTTTAGTTATTAAGTTTGCTCAGAAGCTCAAAATTTTGTGCTTGCTTTAAGTAGTGTTCCCTTGGATTCTCACTAAAGCATTTGTCCCCTTTAATATAAATGATTTCTGCTGTGCTAAGAGCTGAATCTGTAGCCCATAATTCATGGGCTACATAATTCAGGTGGCATTTACTGCAGCAAGGTCCCTGTAAATCAAAGTCTGAGCTTTACATAAAAAGTTCCTTTATAAAAATACAAAACCCAGTATTGTGAAAATGAAGCGGTCGTGCTCCCCACCAGGGTTGTATGGGAAGGTCCTTTGCTACCATGCTTGCTTAATGGCACAAGTGAAAAGCTGAGTAAGGCAAACACTTGAAGAGGCAGTCTGCTGTAAACTGTTTGGGGAGGGAGGAGACTGATTGGGGAGGATCAAGATCAGTGAGGACATCATTTGGCTACAGCTATCACGTGACAACACAGTCTGGCTACTGCCCTGGGATTCTCATGCCTCCCGCACGCCAAGGTCAGGACCAGAAGGCAGGGAGGTCCAAGGGTGAACGCCTGCCTGCCTTTGCGCTGCTGAGTGTAGCCTCCAACCGTTGTTCTGTGCTGTGGAAACAAGCGTTGTTTGCTTGTTGGCTCAGAAACATTCCTCAATGACAAGGTTAAAAATAAGCTAAGTCATTAGAAAAGAGTTCCTTAGCTTAAAGCTGTTTAAGAAATCTATTCCAACCACTAAGCTACCATTTTTTTTTTTTTAAGAGAAGGTGCTCTATACAAATGCTGTAAATAATGAGTATTTCCCACCCACTTGGTACCTAACAGCAACCTAAGTCACTAAGCAGCAGATTGTAATGACACTTGGAAAACAGACAATGATCTTGTGGGATTTATGGCCTCTTCTCATGTCCTCACTTGGAATTTTCCAGCTTTTGTGATGTATTTGACTCCTTTAAATGGCTTATATTTCTCTCCATACATGTCAAGGCGATTTACTTTCAAGCCTGTGTGAAGAGGAAGAGGGGAAGGAAAAGAGAATGACTATCACATCAGCATTCCATCTGCATAAATGTGCAGCATGAAATAAATGCCGAATAGTAGTTTTTGAGGTTTAACCAAACAAACCGCACCTGCCCCACAAAGATGATGCAACCTCAACTGGGCATTTGTTATTCACTCACACCACAGATAGGGTTTCAAGAAGTATGTTATTTGCTTACTTATTATAAAGGTGCTTGAGCAATATGGACAGCATTTAGGGTTACGTGCTCGAGCAACATGGACAGGTCAATTATTGCCATAGTCCTCCAAAGAAAAATTGCTTTGCTAATAGAGGTGTTGCTACTTATCAGTGGTACATGAAAAATTATGGTTTATAGTTTAACTTAAAGAAAAATTGAATGGTGCCACTTTCTGGAGACAGCCATCTCAGCACCTCTCACCTTCCCCAAAACACAGGACAACTCAATGTAATATCCTAACCTGAAATAGCAAGTTGCTGAATCTTGAACTGAATGTTGAGGCTTGGATTTTCTTCGGGTTTGGGGGCTCCAGACTGTAAATTCACCAATCCTTTAAGACTCGGGAGCTTCTGGGGGGTAATCTTGCCAACATCCCATGTTAATACCTTATTAAATGAAAACCAAAATACAATAGCCATGCATTAATGAGAGGTATTCTGAAGTCAAAGTAATAATGCCATAAGCCTCCTCTATACAAGGGTGTACGTTCTCTGAAGTACGATGCAGGGGATGGAAAATTGGACTGGAACTCAGGAAACCTGGATTCTAGACCTGGCTCAGTCACAAGCAGCTAGAAGTCTTTAAACAAGTCCCAAGGTCTGAGGCCTAGTTGGTTCATCTGTACAATGAGGGACTTAGCATCTGTCATCTTTAAGTCCTCCTAATTCACTCCTATCTTCAAGGCTGGCAGCTCACTGACTAAACTACTGAAAAGGACCAGACTCCTCATAAATAACAAGGGGTGGTGAATCATTTTTATATTTCCTGTTACTCATATGAAAACCTTTCACCAAAAACACATTTATACGATGAGAAGGGGCTTTATATCTTAAGAGAGGAAGAAAAGCATATTCTGTGGATACTGATACAAAAAGGGACCGTAATGAATTATCACACCTTATATTTACACAGAACTTTTACATCTTAAAAGTGTGGCTTTTGCGTTCATTATTTTAATCTAGTGAATGCAAGAAATCCAGGGAGTCAAAGGGTGGTCAAATGGTCAAGGCATTTTGTCTAAGGACCAGCTCAACTTCCTGATAAAGCTCAGCTGTACCTTTGCCCTTTCTTCAGCTCTGCACCTCCTTTCTGGCTCCCCAATTCCTCTTTCTGCCAAGCAGCTGCAAGGTACAACATGTACTCTGGCCTTGAAGGAGGAATAATATGCTTCCTCACAGCTTTCTGGAAATGGGCATATTTCTGTTTCTAAGCTACGATGGCTGCTGTAGCCAGAGATTCATTTAGTGAAAAACTGGAATTGTAAGAAATCGCCTGAAAGAAGATACAGTCACATTCCTATTTCTCTTCTGCATTTACTAACTCAGTTTTCATCAACAAGTAGTAAAGGAATAAAGTTCAGATTGGATTTTGCTAATGACGACCAAGGTTTTCTCTCCTTTCTGTGAACAGATTTTGTTATAAGACTATTATAGATAGGTAGATATTAGCTACTTTGAAAATGGTCACAAATTCAAGCAAAAATACCCTAAAAAATAAACAAGCATGGATTCCCCACTAGTTCCCGAAAGAGTCCAGTCAGACAAGCACCTTTTTTTCTGCTTGGAAGCTTTTGTGGACAGCAGCATTCTCAGCTTACGCAGAGGCCAAAGAACTCATCTTAATGAATGAGAAGTTGAGATTGGAAGAAGACCTTGCCAATAGAAAACAACTGACTGCCCAATTACTCTTGGCTACGGACGAATTACAGAGAAGCACCTTACCTTAGTGACGGGATCAAATGTATAGCTGCCTTGTGTAGCAGTTAAGTTCATGTTCAGTACGACTTTGGGCATGTGAACAGTCACTGTGATGCCTTCAATGGTTTTCCCCATGTTCTGCTTTGGTCCAATTGTAATGTCAAATCTGCCACAAGAGCTGTTCTCCTTAAAGCTGATGTTATGTTTCACATACACTGGAATTGCCACTAAACTAGAGGTGGAAGGAGGTGGGTAAGAGAGATTGATTATGTGGTCACAAAACACACATGAAAGAGACCCTCCTCTGCCACCCACTGGAGGACCACTAACTCCCAGAACCCCGACTTCCTCATCTATGAAATGGGATAGTTAGAATGGCAGCTGCCCTTGTACGGCAGTGTGGGGTACCACTTTGGGAGATAAGAGCCAAGAACAAGCCCAGCAAGCTGGGACAATTCACACCCCCACCCCCCACCCCCTCCAGTTCAAGGACATGTAGATGCCACAGTGAGTCCTTAGGATTCTAAATGTAAAAGTTCTCCCTTTATGGAACAGGCAAGTCCCTGCTAGTAAGCTCTGTCCTGATGTTTCTCAGATAACTTCTGCTACTTTCAGGGAAGGAATCCCTGAACGAACAAATTACCAAAAACATTATCTCAAAATATTTAATCTCAAACTTAGCACAGAGAAAAATACTGGGAAGTGTGTTCACCAAAGTCTCTTTGGAGACACTTCAGGGAATCCTTCCTGCTGCTATTAGCCCACAGAATGGGAAAAGATGCTAAGGGATGGAGGGAAGACCCTCAGGATCTCCCTCTGCCTGGTGTACAGTTAGAACTGCTGATGCTCATCTACAGACTTTTAGAAAGGCCTATCTTCTCTTGCTTTTGCTCTTGATGAAAACTCATCTTTCTGGTTTTTTTTTTCTTTTTTTTTGTCTTGCTGCCAGCTTACTCAAAGGGGACAGGTAAAAGGAATCTTTTAAGGCAAAATATCAACCAGCAGACTGAAACAAAAATGAGTTCAACCCAGGCAGATTAGTATGCATATAATGCTTGTAAAAACAACATACTTTTGGGGCAGCTAGGTGGCACAGTGGATAGAGCACCGGCCCTGGAGTCAGGAGGACCTGAGTTCAAATCCAGCCTCAGACCAAATACTTGACACTTACTAGCTGTGTGATCCTGGGCAAGTCACTTAACCCCAACTGCCTGAAAAAACAAAAAACATACACATAAAAAAACATACTTTTGTGAGCTGACACGGTAGGAAATGAGTCGGAAGTTTCCATCTGGAGGAATAAATGACAGGACTCTTTCTGACTCCCAGCGTTTGAAACGAATGCAGGGGTGGAAGCTGACATCATCAAGAAGCCTTGGGTTCTACATGAAAAACAAAAAGAGATTTATATCCATTCATTTCTATAGACGAAAATACAAGGACACATCTTGGGGAGAACTGAAAAAATTAAGTGGTTGTAAGTAATTAAATACATTAAACATCTTTAATAAATAGTAATGCAAAATTATTATTAAACAGTGAAAATGACACTTCTAAAAAATCCTGTGGGGTTTAGCAGCCAACTTCAACTATGTCTAAAATTCCCAGAACCTTTTCCTTAAAGGCCTAGTAACCAGGCAGGGAATTACTTTCTGAGGACCTGCTCCAGCATTATTTCAGTGAGATAACATTTGTAATTACTGCTGCCAGCCAGGACCTGGGAACCACTCTCAGTATTTCTTATTTCACATGGTCATTCTGGTACATGAGGACTGCTTGCCAAGGACACGAGACTTTGGAGAAGGAAAATAAAACTTACCATGAAGGAAAGGGAGAGATCAGGCATTCCAGAAAGTTTAATGCAAGCATCAATGACCCCTTGAATTTCTGCAAAGACTGTGGAACCTAAAGCAAGGGAAACAGACTAAACAGCACAGTTTTGCTAAGATCCTTTGAATCTGGGTCTATGCTGGGTATATCGACGTATCTAGAGTAACTGAAGATACCCTTGGGTGTCAGGCTAAATGAAAGCTTCGCACCTCAATAAACAGATTAATGAAAAGAAGACTGATTACCTGACCTTAGTTTCCTGAATGCCAGGGCCTTTTCCCAACCTGTCTTGGAAGCTAATGTTTCTGAGAAATATCATACCCATCATTTTATTTCACCATCAAACCATTCTGTAGGGCTGTTCTACACAGGGGTTACAAATCATCTTCAGAACCAGTCTCCTAATAGAATGGGTTACACTTCTATCACTTCATGAGGAAAACGGTCACAAAGTATGAAGGTATCATAATAAGTAGCCTTTTTAAAAAATCTGAGAAATGTAGAAGAGAGACCTCAGGAACACTATGGAGAATAGGGAGGGACAGGGTCATATTGATGCTAAAAAGTTAGTCACTCAATTACACGTTCTCAATAGCTTTTAACTAATGGTTCACTGAAATTAAAGTAGAATTCTAATAAAATAAGAACTGATTTTCAAAAAAATCATTAAAATAAAGTCAATGCCTTTTACCAGATAACCTGGGGCATCTCAACTCTGCACTCCCCTTTTATCAACTGCTTTATTTTCCCCCTACATAAGTTCAGAGGCACCTACCTGATTTGTCTATAATTGCATCTATTTCTTCAATTACATCAAAGTAAGCTTCATTGTTTGTGTATTTCACACCTGCACGACGCCATGGGATGTTGGAAAGCTGTCCTGTGGGAAGTGTGTCCCCAACATTACTACTGCCTGGAAATCGGAGAGAAGGTTAAAAATACCTGCATAGAACTATCACCAGAAAAACCTTTCTCTAGCTTAGTTCACAAAAAACTATTAACAGAACATATACTTAATGTTTAATCCTCAGATATGTCTACGTGTGCGCACCATGCATGTGTGGCCTCATGAGCTGGGGAAGAAACAATGGGAGTTTTCAGGATAACTGTTGAAAATATCCACGGTGGCACGACCAAATTTTGAGAGAGCAGAAAATAGGCCATGTGGTCCTCTGCCCCCTGCCAAACCAGGTTGTATTCCTTTACTTTATCTCCTGCTTCCTGATCGTTAACAGTACCCTAACCTGATTCCAGGAGCTAAACAAAACTTCAGCCTACTGCCATGGACAGAAGAAGGGGCTGGTTGTTTCAATACTTTATAGAAAGTACTGAAGTGTCAGTACTTGTGAAGTCAGTGAAGTGTCTTCACTGAGAATCAAATGATAACAAGGCTCTTTGGTATTAGGGCCAATACCACCAGGGACACAGGCAGGCAGAGCCCCAGGCAAGGTCAAAAAAGGAATAATACTCTTTTGCCATCCCTCCCTGCCCCTTAAAATCAATCCAGGCACATGAGTGTGAGGATGTAGGTGTCCTTCGAGAGAAGGAGTGTGGTGGAATGAAAAGAGAACTAGGAATCGAGAGACCTGGAGCAAAATCCCCCTGATGCTTAGTATGGATATCACCTTGCCTCTCAGTCTCAGTTTCCTCACCTACAAAATGGAAGTGGAAATAGGGGTCTCTGAAGGTCATTAGCATTCTATGATTCTAAGTCAATCCCAGCCTCAGGTTCTTCATTTGCAAAATGAATCCATTCATATTTATCTCCCAGGGTTGTTGTGATCCTTTAAAGCCCTCAGTAATTTTGATCTGGCAGCTAGGTGGTGCAGTGGATAGAGTGCTAGTCCTGGAGTCAGGAAAACTCATCTTCCTGAGTTCAAATCTGGCCTCAGACACTTACTCGCTGCATGACCCTGGGCAAGTCACTTAACCCTGTTTGCCTCAGTTTCCTCATCTGTCAAATGAGCTGGAGAAGGAAATGGCAAACCCCCCTAGTATGTCTGCCAAGAAAACCCCAAATGGGGTCATGATGTGGCTGAAACAACTGAACCACAACAACATCCTGATAGTTTAAAGTATTGCTGTTGGCAATGTGACATTTAATCACTAGCTAGCTGACATGGAGTTTGAAATATATTTTTCTTTATTTTTTTAGTGATGACAATTTGCAGAGTCTCTGGATCAGTGCTGTTTTCTGTGTATTCAGGAGCTAAAGCTAATTAAGCTATCTGGTTCACATTCAGTCTAACATTGCTTCATAAAAACAAAAAAAAAAGTGGTTTGTCTAGGGGCACTTACATGGCCAGTATGAGTGAGTGAGATCATTTGAACCTCTCCTGACTCCAGACTCAGCACTCCACAATGCTGCTTCTGATGAAGAGATACTCAAAATTTGGGTCCATTCTCTTTTCTTTCTCTCTTTTTTTTTTTTTGCAAGGCAATCAGGTTTAAGTGACTTGCCCAGGGTCACACAGCTAGTAAGTGTCATGTGTCTGAGGTCACATTTGAACTCAGGTCCTCCTGATTCCAAGGCTGGATTGCCATCTACTGCGCCACTCAGCTGCCCCTCAAAAGGCCATTTTCTCTAGAGAATCACTAAGTCTCTACAGTCACACAACGATAAGTATAAATTCTAAGATCTTGCTGTGTAATTGATTTTTAAAAAGAATTTGAACCCAAAGAGCAAACTGCCACTGTAAAGAAGGTTCTCCTCAGACAAGGTCTATCTTATGGGAATAGTCACATTACCACAGGCTCTGTGATGACCACAGTGCCAGCTTTGCTCAGCCCTCCTCTTGAGTACAGAGCTCATGGGAGGTGCTGGACAAGGAAATGGGACAACTGTATTCCCCTGAGGTCATGGAAGATCCTTTGTACAGCCCAAACAAAACAAGGATTTTCTTCTGGTGGTGAGGGTCTCCAAATGCCCCTATTTGCCAGTGACATAATAGTACTTACACTGAGAACTGAGAACCTTACAAAGATGCCTCAGTGAAAATAAAGCAAAAGATTCTGCTCTGTCTACACTTGAGAAACAAAGATAAAACTCATGCTGTTCAGACTGTGACATGCAACTGGACACAGCCTATTAAATTAGTTTATCAATATATGTATCTTAGATAAGTGCTACAGATGGATAATGAACTGGTCCTAGAACAGAGGAAGAAATGATGCTGGATTCCTCACCCACCCACCCACAGACTCGAGTGCACACACAGCTTTCAATGACTCCCAGACTGTTCATACTACCAAGCTGGTTGTTCTTCAGTCACTTCAGTTGTATCTGACTCTTTGTGACCCGATTTGGGGTTTTCTTAATGAAGACACTGGAGTGGGTTGCCATTTCCTTCTCCAGTTCATTTTACAGATGAGGAAACTGAGGCAAACAGGGTGAAGTGACTTGCTCAGGGTCACACAGCTAGTAAGTGTCTGAGGCCAGATTTGAACTCACAAAGATGAGTCTTCCAGACTGTCCACTGTGCCATATAACTGTCCATGCTACAAAAGTACACCTTTAATGCCAATTAGTGATGCTATAAAAATAAACAACAAAATCCCAGAATAATTGACATTATAGATAATCCAAAGGGTAATGGAAATATCCACTGTGGGTGTTAAGCTGCCTAGAGAATTCACTAATCAATACATATGCTCAATGTTAATGAGTGATGTTACTCTAGGAAAAGGAGGTAGGTTGGTCACATAGTGAAAATGAGACACAGAGGGAACACTTGGAGACATTTCTCTAAGACTTTTTATGTTATCAGAATATAAGCTCCCTCTTTTTGTATTTGTGTGATGTATTTGTTTTGATCTGTATTGTATATATATGTTTTCAAGTATATGTATATGTATGTATTCAAGTACTATGTTAAGGCTTAGCAGCACATAATAAAGGCTTTTTCTTTCATTTATCTATCCTATTGCAGTTTTGTATTTTTAAAAATCTCTTGTTGCTAATTAATTTTAACATGTTTATGTTTTGCCTCTTAGATTTTAAACTCCTCTAGGTAAGAGATTACACCTTAAACTTCTTTGTTGACCCAAATACAGTGCCTTGCATATAGTGGGTTATTAATAAATATTTGCTGGCTGACCAGGACCAGACTTTTAAAAATAACAATAATTTTACCCCAAGGTACCAAGAAAACTTAAAAAAAGGACTCTCACAGTTGGCTAGCATATTCGACATGACATATGGCTGCTTTATGAAACCCTTGTAGAGGTATCTAGGTTTCAAAATTCTTTTCTGAAAGTATTTCCAAATCAATGTAACTACTTTTATCCAGATACAAGAGTTAAATGAATCGGATATAAAACCTTCTAATATGATTAAAAGGTCTCAGGAATGCAATGATTTTCCTATTTATTTCTTACTACAACCTTTGCATGGACGAAACTATAGTGCTAACTATAGTGTACTAGAATATTATAGATAGGTTCACTAAAAATTTGAGTGTAGTGAGTATTTAATATGGTTATATGAGATTAGAATGTTCTGCTTTTTATACAAATGAAGGAAGGAAACATTAAGAACCTGCTATGTGTCAGACATTGTGCTATGCACTTTATAAATATTATTTCATTTGATCTTCACAACTACCCTGAGAGGAATGTGCTAGTATTACCTCCATTTTACAGATGATAAAACTGAGGCAGACAGCGGTTAAGTGAATTAGCTAGGGCAGATTTGAACTCAGGTCTTCCTGATTCCAGGCCTAGAGTTCTAACCACTGCACTACTTAGGTGGAAATGCATTGTCTAACATTTCTTCTAAGAAGTCACATACTATGACCCACATTATCCTTAAATTCAGCTTCTGAAGTCTCCCCAAAGTAGTCCTAATAAATGTATATAATAGTGTATGAAGGAAAGCAAATGCATTTTGCTTTTGATGGATAAACTTACTTTAATGAGCACAAATCCCTGAGGACTGTAATAAGGTGCAAACAGTAACAGTGTTGTAATATTGGAAGAGACTAGAATTGATAAAATCCTACATTTCAAAAATCTTTAAATAGAAACAACAAAAATATTTGGTCAGTAGGAAAATAAGCTCCTTACATACATGCACTGTTTTGATGCTGAACTGAACTACTTGATGAATCAATATACCACTACTGTTAACCACTGTCCCTAAAAAGATTATCTACATCTGTTGCTGCACATACTGGATCATTATTCTGATCAAAACCTATTTAACTTTAATACTCTTGTATATTTCTTTAAAAACAGGCTTTTCATTTCATAGTTTTTAGAAGAATACCTTACCATACCTGTAATAGAATTGACAACAGAGCGCAGAATTGTGGGTGGTTTAATCAGTTCTTTCAAGATGTTAGATTCAGTTGCCAGAGGAAATCCATTGTCTAGCATTTCTTCCAAGAGTTCATATACTATGACCACGTTATCCTTAATCGCAGCCTCTGAACACTCCCCAAAGTAGTCCTAAAAAAATGTATATAATAATGTATGAAGGGAAGCGAATTCATTTTACATCTGATAGATAAGCTTACTTTAATGAACACACATCCCTGTCTGAGGACTGCAATAAAGTATAAAACAGAAGAAACACCTTTAGTTATGATTCTCTGTATTGTTCTCAACACTATTACTATTTTGGCAGTATTTTTCAGATGAGTTAAGACAATTTCCATTAAATCTCACAAACTTACTGAAATAACATTTTATATACAAGTAAAGTCTTGTATATAAACAATGAATATGCTGGGGGTTTTTTGAAGGGAGGGGAAGCATTAAAAAGCACATGTGTAAGCAGCCTTATTTGCCGTACTCGTACACAGGCCTCGACCTGCGATTCCATTGGTATACAGAGCTTTTGGTGAGGACCTTGTCTACTAGTGTAGGTTGGCATCTTCTCTGCCAAATTAAGAGCTTTAGACAGTGGCCTAAATCATGGAAAGTGACTGGGATGGAACCCAAGTCTTCCTGGGTTTACTACTCACCAAGCCTCCAACAGAAGGTATGAAGGTAAAACAAGACTCTAGAGCAGAGGCTTAACAACTTAAGAACATTATCAGCACTTAAGTGTCTTTCTATCCTGTGTCTGTAAAATCCTTACTAAAGCAAGTTAGGACATAAATAATAAATAACCTACCTGAAAAGTGTCTGCGACTCGATGCAGAAACTCAATGACGAAGAGTGGTGGCACCTCTGTTTGTATGACGGACACAAAGAAAAGTTTGTCCCTGTAGATGCTGATGAGGTAGTGGTGAGGAGTTGAGATGACAGGTGGCACATTCTCAACATCAGCAGCTTTTTCCTGGGCTTCAAAGAAATAGTCACAGACAGACTGGCTCACAACACTCTTCCAATGCTTTTCCAGGAAGATGTCCCCGGAACAGTTTATGAGGAACAGACTGTGGATCATGTTCTGCAGCAGAAAGGTTTAAAACTCTTCTCATTAATTGATATTTACTGAGGGTTTACTTTCTTTTTGCTGGTTGAAAAATTTCATTACAGACCCTTATCTTTTCCAGTTATTTCATATGAAATTATCCACCTAGGAAACCACTTGAAATAGAATGCAAGGGTCTCAGGAAGGTCTCAGGAATGGGCCAACAGTCCAGTCATTTAGTAGAGCATTACTGAATGTTGAAACACAAAATATTAGCACCGGGAGGAACATTATGGATCTAGCCCAGCCCTGAGGCCTCAAGAAGTAGAATAAAGTTATTCACAAAAATCTTGTGGTATTCAAACAATACTACTTTGTTTTTGTTGCTCCTTATTCATGATATTATTGCAATAGGGACCTCCCCATGAAAATTCCTTCTACCAGTAAAGGTTGGCAATTCTTCTGTATCTTATAGTCTTCAGTTTTCTGGAGGCACTGAGACATTAAAAGAGCTTGCTCAGGGTCACACAGACGGTACATTTCAGAGGTAGAACATGAACCTTCTGTCTCTAGGACCATTACTATTCACTTTGCAATGATTCCTCTTAAACAATATTGCCTAGCACAATTTGAATAATTATCAAGTAACACTCAACAGATAACAATCACAGCTTCCGTGACCATGGGATGTTGATACCTAAGTATAATTGCAACTAATAGTTTAGAAGGCTTAGCCATTAGGAATATTAGGTAAAGTGGCTTCAATGTCTGCAGAGTGAAAAGGATTAACATCAGCTACCTGCTAAAATTTTCCACTTGATCCAATCAGAGGGTTTCTCTCTTAGGCTTGCTTTGACATACAGTCTCACATTTCTGTTTGGGTGTGAAAATACTAGAGTGACTCCAGAATACATGAGCTTAATGCAGAAACTAATTAGTCAAGAGTTTCTATCAAGAATAAACAATTTATGGTTTAAATTTTTTGGTTTATGGTTTAATTTTGTGGAAAATCTTGTGGAAACCTTGGCTGAAGATTATTTCTACTTTTTGTTTCTTTAAAACAAATATTCTTGATGAAAGATACATTTGAATGATAAATTTTATAAAATCATTGGATGTAACACATGCTAAATCACAGAATTATCAAGCTGGAAAGGATGTTGGAAGGCCTCGTGTCCAAATTTCTCATTTTACAGATAAAAAAAGAGGCCCAAAGTATTCACCCCATGTGTAATTTAAAAACAAGATTCCTTGAAAGATGTCATACGAGATAACTTTGACAATTCATTGATTATTAGTATCAGGCAACAGCACAGTTAGCCCAAATAAACCACTCTATCAATATGTATATCTTGAATAATTAAAATGGACAATAAACTTGACCTTAAAGAGGACGAGAGTAGACTAGATTGTTCAAGATAAAGAGAAAGAGAAAGAAAAACAGTCCAGCAAAACTAATCATTAAATCACCCAAGTCTAACATCACATGGAGTGTTCCTTAACCAAATCTCCCACTTCCTGCAAGAAGGGAAGGAGTACGTTTTCAACTTTTCTTTGGTATTGGGGCCAAGTTTGCTCTAACTTATAATCTCATGTTGTTTGGTTTGCTATTATTATTGTTCTTCCCACATTTTTATACTACTTGTATGTGTTATAACCTAATCTTAACACCAACATTCAAGTGACGCTATATGCGTACAAAGCATGGGATACAGCATATGAAGAATCAAAATTATGGTTCACTCACAGATGCAATGGAGAAGTGGGTATAAATGAACTGTGGCATACTAGCAATGAGTAAATGTATATAAGAAAAGGCATAAAAGATATCGTTAAAGAGACATGTGACCAGAAGAGGATATGCACTAGTCACGAGTGAGAGGAAGGAAAAGACTGATAGAGAACTTGTGTTCCACTAGCACCACCACATGGAATAAGCAATCCCAGAGCAAAGATTCTTAAACCTTCTCCATATTATGGACCCCTTTGGCAGTGTGGTGACACCTATGCAATTCTTCTCAGAATATTTTTTTTAATTAAAGGAAAAGCTGAATTTCACTTGTAAGTTAATGAAAATAAAGAAGTAGGGTTTTCCCCCCACACATATTCATGGACTCCCTGAAAGCTATCACTGGACCGTTTGGAGGACAACAGACCCCAGGTTAAGAACCTCTATCCTAAAGGAAAGAACTCCATCATGTTGAACATTGAAGCATGTCCGAGCTCCCTTGGTTCTAATGTGGCTGGAAAAAATAAACCCTCTTCAGGGTCAAAGAAGTTCAAATTTGGCTTTGATACTAAATACAGTTGAGAAGGTAAGAATGATGCTTTAAACTTAGTACTAAGGATAACAGTGATAAATCTGGACTGTTGGCTGTATTGTACTCTGCAGAGACCCTAAATAACTGCCAATAAAAACAGCTTTTATGTTAGAAGATTTTCCAGGAAGGAATTCTTTCACTACAAGATTAAACTAAGAGAGAGATGATAAAGCTCTGACCCTAAACTGAGAAACTCCAGAATTTCTTTAGTGTGCACTGTGGCAAAAGGAGCATGGATTCATCTGAAGACCACTGTTTGGTTTATGCCGAGCGGTTAAGCAGATATACCACGTCAGACTTTGCAAGTATAATTCCTACTGGAGAATGTATAAAAAGCCTAGTGAACACCAGAGGTTATGTTCGAAACCACCTGAACATCTGTAAGACAGATGGCCATAAATCTTAAAGTGAAATGGCCACAGTGAAGAGTATCTATGGTAACTGGCTATTTTTCCCTTAGCCAATTTTTCTTCTGGTCTGCATAAGCAATAAAATATTCTGTGGAGAACTAGGCTCTTCAAAGCCTACTTTGATCCTTTGTCATGGTGCAGAGGTAAACCTGGGCTCTTGAGGGCTCTGGTTAGAAAGCACAAGCTTTGGCAGATCCTACCAGGCTGGAAAATTTTGGGGTCTAATGATGCACTATATGTTCATCTGAAGGTGAACCTAGCCAAGTCTGAGGTGGATCATCTCCAGAAGATTGGTACATAATGAATTTTTTCAGTTACAGAACTTATGAAGATGACATAGTAAGGGGTGATGGCTTACAATCTGTGTTGGTAAATGGGAGTAACCACATCACAGAAACAAGACTCTTGAAGTGCTAAGTTGGTATCACTTAGTAGAAACAGCAGGTCTAAGCCCCAACTGTCTATAAAGGTGAAATCTAGGTTTTCCACTCATTCTTCTTAGGCAGTTATCTCTCACATTAAGTGATACTGAATATCCTATTCCAGAAGGGAAAATATTGGTTAGCAACTCATCTGATTTCCCCAAGTCTCTCTACTGATTCCTTCCTTCACGTATTCCCCAGATGCTTAACTTTCCAAAGTTCTGTCTTATATTCTACAGTACAGAATAGGAGCTCACATTTATGGTGTTTTAAAAAACAATTTTAGGCAACTTTCACAAACAGTTTATGTTAATAGTTCATAAGTTATGTGAACTTGATGGGTACTTGCAATTTTTATCCCTGGAAATAATGCTCAATTTGGACTCTGTCCTTTACTAACTTTAAGATCTAGGACAAGTCACCCAGATTCTATGGGGGAAAATCACATAGTTGACACTTATAAATTAGATACTGTACAATAACCTTGTGGCAAAGGAGAGCTTATCTAATAAAGACAATGAACAAGATGTCATGACACACTGCGCTGTACAAGATAAATATGAAGAATTTAGAGGCCTTTAAGAAGATTCAGATAAACAAGAGTTTAGAAAAAGCACACCCCAAAGAAATATACACATTGACTACAATCATATGAATGAAAAAAAACGGCAGCAAAACTCAACTTAGCCACAAGGCACAATGCTGATACTATCTGTTAAAGCCTACCCTTTTTTTCCACAAATGGCAAATTATAAAGATGTACAATTGCTTTTTTTTGTGTTGTTTTGCTTAACAGTTTTAGGTGTATGCATTTCTCTCTGCGCCTCTCTCTTAATTCTATTAAAATAAAACATCAATAAAAAAGAAGATTAAAAAAAAAATCCTCTTGCAATGTCAGTTACCTCTTCTATTCCAACTGCTACCACTTCTAAGTTTAAGGCATTAGCCTCCCAAATAGTCTCCAAGCCTCCCATCTCCCTACAGACCAGGCAGGCTGAAATCACATCATTTTAATGGCTTTTCAATGCCCACAAACTAAAGTTCAACTTCACTAGACATGGATTCAGAAGATCTGGACTCAAATATCAGCCTTGCAACCTACCACCTACATGACCCTGAGCTAGTCATACTGCATGCTGTCCCATGTTGAAACTGCAGTGTGGAGTAGCAGATAATAAAAACATTGGACTTCGAAGACCTGGGTTTGAATTTTATTTTTGACACTTGTCAGCGAACCTTCTAACAGTGCCTTCTAATATGAAACATTCCTGTGATCTTACCTTTCCAATTTCTACTCTATATTCCAATCACTCTTCCAAAGAGAACTACTGACACAACCTTATGTATGCTTTCCCTTCTCTCTGCTCAAGATTAGCCCTCTACCCTCGTTAAAATCCTACTCATACTTCAAAGGCCCCCTCTTAAATCACTTAATGGGGTTCATTTATACTGCTTACAGAACACCTAGCATACCCTGCCTCATGCTATAAAAAAACCAGCATTTTAAGCACTTGTGTGCAGAGCACTATGTACACGATAGGGAAGATGTAAAGTTTAGATAAATTTAAAAGGCTTCAAGGAGTTTACAAGCAAGGAGATAAAATAGTAACGGACATCTAGAATACGCAAGATAGTACAGCGGGAAGAACAATGAACTCTGATGTAGAAGAAACCAGGGTCCATATCCTACTTTTGACACTTTGACCCTGGGGAAATCACTTAAATTATCTGAGCCTCTGTTTCCTCATTTGTAAAATGGGTATAATAACACTTTTGGTTCTTTAAAGAAGTGAAACTATATAAAAATATTTTGTAAAACACGTCAGCTATCATAATACATAATAACTGTGTAATGTTTGAGAACAAAGCATTTTTTATGGAAAGGCTTTTAACAGAGGGGGGGAATTCAACTTGTGAAGAAAGTGGGGGAAAACTTTCCAAGTACTAGGAATAGCCTGAACAAAGGTACACTGTTTTAATGGAGCAGGTGCCGGGTGTCAGGTGTCAGAACTGTCCATCATACATGTGGGAGTGGGGTGGAGGTGGGCCTTTGAGGTAGGAGAGACTGAACTTTTTACTTCACAGGCAGATTTCTGGGCAGAAGAGTGAGTTCCAGTAGTCCTGTTTTAGGTCCTGGGAAGGAGAAGGGAAGATCTAAAGGGGACTATTGCAATAGTTCAGGGTTTTACATCCACCCTAGCATCCAAGGAAGGGCATCTGGCCAATTGCCCTAGGGCTGCCCTCATTCTCCCCATCAGGAGCAGAGGCACTCCATTCCTCTGCTGGTATGACCCCCCTCAGCTCTGGCACTCTGCCCTGGGGCTGGGCTGCGCTGCTTGGAACCCAGGTTATACCTAGCCAGTCTCAGACCAAGCTTCACATCTCACCCAGCCATCAGCCAGGAGCTCAAGTCCTTCCTAGAGCTGGCATCCCTTCTGATGCAGCATGGACAACCCTTTCAACCCTCACTTCTACGTCTATCTTTTGTTCAAGAACAATAATCAAATCCACACTGCCACTGCTATTGTCAAGGGCATGACAAATCAACCACCCCGTCAGTCGGTCAAGCACTTGTCAAAGGCTTACTTTGTGCCGGAACCTGCTTTAAAGTGTAGTATAATATAATGCTATTCTATAGATATTTGTATGACACTGAAAAAGTGTGCTCTAGTGCCCGCTAAGCTCCATGATTTTGGGCAAATCACTTAAGTTTTTCAGGGCCTCAGTATCTCTTTCTATAAAGTGGGAATGCGGCCCCAACAGTTCTCTCCTCCCACTTCAGCCCGATCGAACAAGATAATGTGCCAGTTTTGAAACTGTAAAATATTGAAAAAAGTAAGGTGTGTGGGTTTATATTATTTTGGGGGGACACGCTAGGGCAATGGAAAGAGCCCTTTGCTGGACCAGAAGTTCCGGGGCAGACGTCAATGAGACCCTGGCTAGGAATCCAAAGAAAAGCACAAATCAGGACTCCGCTGGAGCTCCCCTCGAAAGCCCCAGCCTCCGACTCCCTCGGACCACTGCCCTCTAAGTGTCGTCATATAGATGCAGAGCCGCGAGGTGGCACAGGGAAGAGAACGCTGGCACCGGCCCTGAGTTCAAATCCTCCTGTGACTCCGAACAGTCCCCGAACCTCCCCGTTTCCTCATTCGTAAAATTAGTATTCTAAGTGCTTTAAAACCCCGTACAACAAGAACAGTTCTCATCGCAGTCCCCCATTGCACGCCTGACTTCTGCACCGTTGTGGTGTCCCAGGCACCGTGCCTGGCACACAGCTGGCGCTTAATAAGCGCTTGCAGGTTGGTTTAGTGAAGCACAGAGATCGCAGGGAGCACGTCCCCTGGCCGGGCGGGCTCGGAGGCCGCATCGATCTGCCGGAGTCCCGCAAGGCCCTCACCTGTCCGGGGCGCGGCCCTTCCCCGCAGCTCCCGGTCCCGCAGGAGCCGCCCCGCCCTTCCCCGCGGCGCTGACGAAGCAGTGGGCGGGAGGGGCACCGCCCCCGGCTCTAAGACCCCCCGCCCCGCGTGACCCCAGCCCCGGCCGCCGCCCCGCTGGGCCCCTCACTTACCCCGAGGAGCCGGGCGGCCCGAGCTCAGCCCCCTACCCGTTCCGGAAGGAGGCCGCCGGCTCAGAAGCTGCTGCGGCGGCGGTGGCGGCAGCGGGGACCTCGCGGTCCGGGCTGTCTTGCTCATTGCCTGAGGGAGGGCTTCACCGCCACCGCGCTCGGATCGCCTCCTGGACCGGATGCCTGAGCAGAGCAAAGGTCTCCGAGGGCCTAGGGCGCGCTCCATCCCGAGGCGGAGGCTTAGGGGGCCGACGGTCGGATGGCTCCTTGCGTTCAGGCGCCAGGGACTGCCCGTCCGTGAGCTCCTGCCCCTCTTCCGCCAAGGCCCCTCTTGGGGGGCGGGGCGAAGACGGCCCGGGAGGCCGCCGGACCTGGGGGCGGGGCGAGCTCGCGGGGCCGAGAGGGGAGGGGCTCACGCTCGTGCGGAGCCCGAGGAGAGGGCATCCCGGGCTGGCCCACGAGAAGGCCGGGGGCGGAGGGAGGAAAGGGGGCGTGACTTGGGCGTGGCCTCGGGGGAGGGGCTCTTCTTTGGCGAGGGGCGCGGGAGAAGGGAGGGAGCGCGAAGATGGCAGCGGCTGATGAGGAGCCTCGGGCTAAAAAGCCGAAGGTGGAGGCGACGCCCCGGCTGAGGTGAGCGCCGCCGGGCGGGGATGGGCTGCACGTGGGGCCTGGAGGAGTCGGGTCGCAGGGCCGCCCCGCGAGGCTCGGGCCGGCTCGGAGCCAATCAGCGCGGCCGTCTGAGGGGAGGGGGCCAGGCCCGGCCCCACGTGGGCGCCCCAGGGAGCGGAGGCTCGGGTCGGCAGCGGCGCGGAGCGCGAGACCCACCGGCCCTGGGGTCCCCGGGAAGGGATGCAGAAGGGCGAGAGCACGGTCCGGGCGTCGGGAAGGTCGGCATCCGCGGAGACCCCGGCCCGCGCTCCGGTGCCTTTGGGGAGGGTTAGGCGGGGCGAGCGGACCCAAGTCTGTGCGTTCTGTTGGAGCCTGGGCTGCGGGTCTCTTTAGTTAAACGTTTGTCTCAGTTGTAATCATGCTGCTTGTAAAAAAACAAAGTTACTTATTCATCCGCTTCTCGATAATAAATGGAATGCTTGCACCCTAAGGCTTCTCGACTTTGAAATCCCTGTGCACGCGATGGCAGCGAGATGTGGAGCTAAAAACAGGCCCTTTCGACGATTGAGAACTATGCAGTCAAGGCCTATAGATAATGTATACATGTCTGTGCGCTCACACACACACACACACACACACACGAGTGAGAAGAGACTTCTTAGACGCCTCACCACCACTTCTATGCCCGGCATCCCCTTCCCCACCCATTCTCCCTCAAGTAAGGAAGAGGCAAAACTATGCTCATGCAAGCTGGTGGGCTCGACTCTGCTTCGGAGCAAAGAGGGCTGTTCACAAGTGTGTTTTAGGCCCTACTAAGCACCGGGATCTTGGCAATTAATTTTCCTAAGCTTCGGTGTTCAGTAGCCCTGGAATAGGAATGCAGCCTGCTCCCCTCTCGATATAAAGGTCCAACGAGATAAATGTGAAAGCACTCGGAAACTGTATGCCTTACATATGTATTTGTTCAGTCGTTTCAGTGGGGTCCGAATCTTTGGGACCCCATTTGCGGTTTTCTTTGCAAAGATACTGCAGTGGTTTGCCGTTTCCTTCTCCAGCTCAGTTTTACAGATGAGGAAACTGAGGCAAAAACAGTGACTTGCACAACTAATAAGCGTCCGAGGCTGGATTTGAATTCAGGAAGATGTGTCTTCCTGACTCCAGGCCAGGCACTCTCTCCACTTGAGGCAAAGGGGAAGGAAGGGGTAATGTTAAATGATTCAGTTTTGCAGGTTGTGAGGGTGATTTTGAAAATATATTGCCTGGCCCATAGGAGGTGCTTAATAAATGTTCATTGGGGGCAGCTAGGTGGCGCAGTGGATAGAGTACCGGCCCTGAAGTCAGGAGGACCTGAGTTCAAATGTAGCCTCAGACACATAACACTTACTAGCTGTGTGACTCCGGGCAAGTCACTTAACCCCAATTGCCTCACAAAAATAAATAAATGAATAAATGTTCATTGACTGATTGAATATAGGATCATTAGAAAAGAGCACTCAACCTTCCTCCTGATCCTGAAGTTATTCAAGCCCCCCCAATTGAATATTGGCTCTTCAGTGGGCAAGTCTTATAACCTTTTTGGTCACACAGTTTCCTCATCCAGAAAATGAGGAGGGGTGGACTAGGGACCTCTTATGGATGTTTCTAGCTTTAAGGCCTTCTGACCTGTGCATTTAATGATATTTTTGATTACCTTAAAGCTGGGTTCTTAACTTTTTTTTTTTTGTCATAAGCCTCTGGCAATCTGGTGACCCCTTCTTAGAATGATGTTTTTAAATAACATGATGCAAATGCTGAATTACAGTTGGAGGTTAGTGAAAATAAAGACTATGGTGTTTTTTTTCCCCCCATGCTAGTTCACAGACTTCCTGAAACCACATGGACCACTTTGGTTATGGAGATCTGTGGACCTTGAGGATTTCTCCAAGGGAAAAAAATCTTTCTTCTTGTTCTTAGGAAAACTGAGAAAGGCAACTTCATTTGTTGCTTCCATTTTCCCTACTAATGCAATGTCCTAAACCCTCTGCAGTATAGCTTCTGACCACATGCCTTAGATGGTTCCTATGCCTCGATTTACACCCAGGAAGAAATTGCCACCATCCTGCAGTGTTTTTAAAAGAGGATTTGGCCAAATACATATTCACAAATCTGATATATTCTAATTATATTGGGGTTGTGGGTGGTCTGGTCTTTTTCATATTGTTCAGGGTAATGCTTCTATGCTTGTAAAGACTTTTTGTGCATGTGGCTGGCACTTATTTTTTTTAGTTCCCATCTCACATGCCTGGCAATGACACCAAATCCTTACGACAGTTACACATAAATCCACCAGATAAAGTTTACAAAGGCCCATACCCTGGCTCCTGTGCCCAAGCCCTTGTCATGCAAAAATAAGAAACAAACTTTGAACTTGATTGTTGAAGTGCAGTTTGTTTCCACCACCCTTGTGTTCTCACTATGAAGGTAATAAAGAACTTTATGTGTGAAAGTTCATCTCCAGCTTGCTTTTTTTCAAATCCACATCAGGATTTCATCTTGTTGAGTTTTTTGAAGTCATTATAGTGCGGGAGTTTGCAAAATAGTGATATATGCTCTCAGTGCCTTCATTGCTGTGATTACACTGCTCTCTTCTGTAGGGTGGCTTCTCCGTATTGCCCCCTCCAAACTACCAGTGATCTCAGTATTCTTGGTGCATTGGCACTGGCATGCTCTTCCCTCCCCATCTTTGCCTCCTGGCTTCCCAGGCTTCCTACAAGATTCAGCAAAAATCTCATCTTCTGCAGGTGGCTTTTTCTGCCTCTGGCCCCCAAACCCCCTTGTGCCTTACCTCTGAGATTACTTCCAGCTGTCACATGTATATCTTAGATATCACTGGTTGTTTGCTTCTTGTCTCCTCCCTTAGAAGGTGAGCTCCTTGAGGGCAGAAACTTGTTCTTGTCTTTGTTTGTGCTTAGCATAATTTCTGGCCCTTAATAAGTGCTTAACTAATACTTGTTGACTGTTTATTTTTTTATTCTAGAATCCTTTATTCATAAGGAACAATAGAAGATCACCTAAAAGAATTAAAATTGCAATTTAAAAATACAAATAGCACCTACATCTCACTTAAGGAAAGTCACCAATAATATAAAGAGAGGCTCTTTCCTGTCACTAAGGAACTTTCTAACTCAGGTATTTTAGTCATAAACTATCAGAGGAGACATCAGAGGGATTGCCTATACAGATTGGGAGGATAGATTGCATAGATTATATCCTATTCTGCATGGATAGTTGTGGTCATGGATTTGCTATATTCGTGCGTCTGAAGAGTCATTTTATATTCTCCCGTACTTCTTGGTTTATTTTGTGACCATAAACGTGATCGAATGTGAAAACAATAGCATCAACAACAACAACAACAAACTGCTTGTGCCCCTGCCTTTATATCACCTCATTGCTCTCTAGGAGAGACTGGGAAAGCATGAACTGGTGTGTGGCAGTTATCAACAGGATCTGGGGAGGAAAAAGAATGCTGTAATGGGGCTAAACCAGTGTTTAACTAAATCCCAAATCCCAGAAGGAGTGCTTAACGATTATCAAAGCCAGGAAAGTCAACACAAAATAGATCAAGGAAACATAGTACAAGATAATATGCATTAGGTGTTGAAAGCTTTGGGGAATATTATAGATGGCACATATCCAGTTAATTCTAGATGTAATCCATAATAAATTAATAATAAATGTAATCCATAATAAGCATAATAAGAATGATAATCATTCTCCCACATACTGAAAAGGAGGCTTGGTTCATATACCTCTGCTCAAGGCAATAATATTTTATGAAGATGGCGCACAGTAGCTCTAGTCCCCTTTGCCTCATCAGCATTTCTATGGGCCATACCACTCCTTAGAATGCCTTGTTACAACACTGAAGTTTCCAAATTTCCAAGGCTTCTATTCTGTTCTACTAGAGTGGAGGATGGAGTGAGGATATAACATATACAAAGATATAACATGTACAAATGTTTGTCTTTTCACATCCTCTTCTTGAGCCTTGGGCCTAACTTCAATACCAGTTATTGTGAGTAGAATGATCCTATATTAAACAGTATAATACCCAAAGGAGTGTAAAAGGTGTCTCTTCCCTAATGATCAAGATGAAGGAGATTATTGTACTTCACTCCATAAAGTGATCTTTAATAACCCTGTGTTAATAGAGAAGGCAGACCATAAGTCATAACTTACAGAGGACTATAGGAAGCTATACTCAACATTGTTTTGCCAGGTACCATTGAAGAGGTATAGAGGTTTGGGGTACTGGAACCCCAAGATCGCAACATGGGCCCTGCCTGAATGAATTCAACTCAAATCTTCTTCTAGCCAGAGAAAAAGTTTATTAGAGATAAATCATATAGGCCAGACTCTTAAGAAATCTGGACATTAGTAACACCTGTAGGGAAGGCGGGCTTGAGAGAGTCTCAGCCTTTTGGGCATGAGAAAATCT